ATTAATCATATGCCTATCACTAGATCCATCTCTTTCTCTGCATCTAACTATCTCAGCAGGAATCCTGATCTGGTAGAAAACTCTTTACCAAAACATATGATGTGACAATGCTCATATAGAGGTTTTCAATCCAGTGTCCATTTATTTTCACCATTGTACAAAATCAGAAGGCCCTGCTGAGCAGCAGACGGTCCTCAGCAGGCCTGACATTCAGGCCAAGGCCCGGGGGCCAGCTCAGAGAACACAGTGTCCTGTTAGACCCCACACAGAGTGGCCTCAGAAAGTACCTGGTGTTTGTATCCCCCAAAACATGAACAAAAATGGGTACATTCAAAACACTTCATGGGGGAGTGGGAGTAGGGGGATCTGGCATTTTAGCAAAAGTTCACACATTTGTGCATCCTTGCCAAACACTGCAACATACTGTTATGCCTTTCTGTTCAGATTCTCTATTATGGGGTTCATCTGGGTTACCACAAATGGACAGTGAAAATCTAATGTTAGAATATGGCGTGGAAGGGTCTCCAGAAAAATAACAAGGAGCAACAGTCATCTGAGAGCATAATTTCCTCTTATGGGGTTAATTTCAGCTTCATGATTTTTTTGGAAACCATAACATGTGTGTGTGTGTGTTTTAAAAGAACAGTGTAATCAAGTCTTTCTGCTAGACAAGGTATTAAGAAACCTAATTACCAGCAGTTATCACTAAAACAAAAGGGAAATTTTTTCTTTCACACATAATCGAGTACTTTTGAAGACTCCAAAGGTCCAAGAGAAGATTTCTCATTGTGAATGTTTATTTCAATCAAGGTATCCTGTTTTGTATTATGAGATCCATGGAGCTTCTAATTACATGTATCTAAGTCATGGCAGCACTGTTATAATAGTTTTACATCCTGCATCTAGAAATATAAAAGATTTGTATATGTCACTGGTTGTGACCTCCCAATAATGAGTAATGAAAATTGTTATTTATCATTTCTAGGATCAACACCACTGTGACAGCAGAAAATTGCATTATTTACCTCAACCACATTACTGTTATACAATCTGGAGAAACAAATCCTTCAAACTATCCGCAAATGTTCTTTTCCCAATTGAGATTTTGATGGTTCTGAAAATAATACTGATTTTTACCTTTCTCTATTTGCATTTTAATTTAAAAAACCATGCCAATATCTTTTCTATAGTACAGTGTTTATATTCGAAAATCTTCTTATCTGAGAGTCCCTTTAATATTTGATTCTTAAACCTTGTTCAGTTACTGAAACATCTCATAGCTTCTTTATTTATTATTTTTCATGAGTTGATTTTTTTCTTCACTATGAAATTATCCATTTGGAAATCACATTACTAACATGCAAAAAGTTTTTACTTCAATTATAAAAGCAAACATAACTCATGATTAGTAAGAAGACTATTTTGCAAATCAACCATTGTTTATTTCAGAATATAATCAAGTACCCAGCTAGAGTAAAAGCCTAAGGACAGGATTTTTTTCCAACTTAAAATAATAAAGGTAATCAAACTTTCCTTCCAATCTAGGTGATTGTGAAATTTAATTACAGCTGTTAGCGTTAAAAAAGGGGAAAGCAATTTATTTTACACATAATTGAATATTCCAGAAGAAAATTTCTAAAGAGTTCTCAGAAAATGTATTTAAAACTAATTTCAACCTGATTATTTTATTTGTTATGTCTCAGTTGGCAACGTAGAATAAATCACACTCTTGGGTGATGTGGTTTGACAACAGCAAGTGAGAACATATTCTCAGGAAAATCAGACAACTTTGAGTCTCATACTCAGTGAATGATCAGATCTTTACTCTGTGCAAACACAACCACACCTATATCTGCCATAGCTTTAAACAGAGGTTTGCCCCATATGGTGGGAATTCACCTCTCCATACGCTGGACACTATGACTATCCTTTTATAGTACTCAATTGCCCAAACATGTCCCAAAACTCCAGAGCTGTTTCATCAAACCCAGTGCTAACTGGAACCTCCTTCCTCAGCAGGAGCGAATGATCTAGCAGCTCTGCAGTCAGTGCAACTTAGGACCAAAAGCCTAACAGTCCAGGTGACCTCCACTCATTCCTTTAAACTAAGGTAGTCACTTTCTTCCCTGCACTCTACATAATTCACTTTCTCAAACTGGAATATAGAAGGCTATTTGCTTGTCTATCTCTGCTGCTGGAGGGTGAGAGAAACACTCTTGATTCATCTTTCTAGTCCAAAAACTTAGGACTAGGCCTGAAACCTAAAAGACATTTAACCCAACAGATGCTTTTTAATGAAGTTCAACCCTCAGGATCAAATTTAGCCCACAAAATAAGAGGCAGATCCTAAGTGTGTTAGAATAATTTCTGCACCTACAGTCTGCGCCAATGAGTGTCTTCTTTTTCATTCCTCAGAGGAGCAAGTTTTTCACACCAAGCTCTTACTAAGTGCCACCCCTGTGCTAAATGTCTGCACACATTATCTCATTCAATCCCACAACATTCTTCTGAGTTAGGTTCTTTTATTAGCATTAGCCTCATTTACAGACTAGGAAACTGAGGCTTGGGGAAGTTATGTAACTTACTCCAAGTTATACAGCTGGTAAGTGATTGAGTCAGAACTCAAGGATGGCTCTGATCTCAAAGACTTCAGAACTAGAAGAAATCCTAAAAGTATCTTCCTCACTGAATCTCCTTAAAACGGAGTCTTGTAATTTATTTGGTACACAGTAGGCCCTAGAAAAGGGTGATTAATGGATTGATGGAGTGCTCTAATTTCACAGGCTCTGGCCTTTGCCTGGGAGAACCCAGCTGCCACCACAAACAGGCTCTATTCTTTCCTGCCCAACACCTCTCACAGGTGTGAATTGTTTGTGTCATCTGAATTATTCATGATCCACAAGGCAGTTAAGTGTGCTTAAAAAGAGAACTATGGGTTCTCGTATTTTCAAGACAAAGTGCCTGATTAATTGGTGAATCAGGCAATATAAGCTCATAGGTGAGCTGATTCACACCAATAATACTATCTCCATGCTCATTTTTGAATTTCAGATTTCATACTGTTTCCCAGTTTTCATTAGGATTTAAAATAATGGTAACTAAGGCAGGAAAGAACCATCATATGCATCACTATCCTATCTGCAAAGCAATTACCATCATGTAAAGCTTCTACTGCACTGCTTCAAACCCTTGTATTCTTCCTAAGGCTGAATCAGGTTTTCAATCAAATTTCTTAAGCTATATCAAGATCTGAAGATTCAGATGGCCACTGCATCTATGATTTGTGCCATTAGCAAAGCATGTGACAATATTGCCTTCTTCCTCCCTCCTTTCCCTTCCTCGTCTCTTTCCTCCCCCTTCCCAGTTCATTTTCTACTGGGCAGCTTTCAGAAAGGGATAACCATATGCTAATGGTAAGCCAACATCACTGTATTTTAAATTCAATGTTAGTCAACCAAAATGAATTGAAAAGCAGCAGCAGTGGTTTGGGGGTACTAAAAATAAGCTATAGCATTTGCTGAGTTCTCAGAATTAAAACCACAGGCGGTCAACTTGTTGCTGCTCTTAATAAGATATGACTGTTCTGCCCGATTGGCTGCTACTACCAGAAACTTGAACTATATCTGATGCCTAACGACACTGAGCTTTTGATTATTTAGCAGTGATCTAGAAAGGAAGTGCCATTTCCCTGGAACTAAGCCTGCCAAAAGAGATAATAGATGGTTTTCACATGATTGCATTGTGCCACATCACAATTGCACCTTAGTCAAATTCACCTTGCACTTATGATTTAATTAGTGACACATCCATAGATATGGTTCCTTTATGACTGAGTTGCTGTCCAAGCCCTCCAACAAGGTGTTTCCTACTGTGAGCTGAATTTTTGGATATAATTTAAAATACAGACACAATAGAAATTAACACAGTATTATTATATTGAACTTTTCCATTAGGACATCAAGACCATCTTGCTCCCCAAATGCTGTTTATTAAAGTAAATGTCTTATCGGTTATCCCTTATGGGGGTTTGTCAATAAAGTTTTCAATGACCAGAAATAGAGAAATTCTACCTAATGCATCATTCTGATTAGAAGCCTGTCATACACAGACACCAGTGGGTCTGCTCCTATTGATTCCCCTCCTTCAGATTCATTAGTAATTTTTTCTCTTCAATTAGGTTTCTGACCAACCACAAAATAAAAACTGAAAGAAACCCTCCCTTTGCTCAGCCGCATATGAAAAAAAAATGTAAATCTGGAAAGTAAAATTGCAGAGCTTGTATTATTAAAAAAAAATCTGAGAGGTCACAGAAATATCTCTCTCTCTCTCTCTCTCTCTCTCTCTCTCTCTCTCTCTCTCACACACACACACACACACACACACACTTGTAACAGGCAAATTGTCAGCACAGAGGTTGGTCTTGACCTTCCGTCCCTTAACTTGCTTCAATCAAACCAGAAAGACTGAATCCCTTCATTACTTCTATTTCAAACCCATGCCCAAAGCGTGTGTCTCCATGGAGCTAATTTCTGAAACAAACAAAGAAAACCAAGTCTACCAGAGGCGAGGGTTTGCTCCCCTCAGCTTTGGATGAGGGCATCCAGCGCAGCGGGTGCCACACCACAAGCGGGGCCAGGAGTCCGGCCTCACCCTAACCTTCCCCGGCCCGCCAGCCCGGGTCCCAGCTGCGCCAGAAAGTGTGAGCCTGCCTTGCTCTTTTCGCTTCTCGCCTGCTGTTCCTCAAGTCCCCAGAATACCCGCGTCCGAGCACGGAGGCGCCACCGCTCTCCCACCTCTGCGCTGTCAAATGTCAGGCGCGGGGGTACTGTGGGCACCGAGGGTTCTAGCAAACCAAACAGGAGTCACACCGGACACCTGCCCTCACTCCGAGAGCGCGGGCAGGATGGCCACAGGTAGGCTCAGTCTAACCCAGAGTCCCGGGCGAGGGCAGGGGGCTGGAGCCCCGGCGCGGCAGCCGCACCCGAGGGGCTGAAACTCACCAGAGGACACCGAGGAGCCCGACAGGCTGGAGTTGCTGGACGCTGCCATCTCGGCGCGCTCGGCGCGTCGCTGCTCAATCAGCCCCGGTGCGGGCACCGCAGCCGCTGCCCTCGCCTGACGGCTCCCAGCCTCCGCGGCCCCCAGCCCATGGCAAAGTCCTGGGGACGCGCAGAAAGCACCAGCCTCCGGACTCTGCCTGCACTTCCTGCTCCACCAGATGACGCGCTGCGCCGCCGCTATTTATTTGTGGTTTCCGTCCCTCTCAGCGTCTTTGCACGCTTTTCTCCGGGTGTCTAGGGGTAGGTGAGGACGAAAAGAGGTCCAGGGGCGGCCGGGGCGCGTTGATGGTGGCGCCCCTCGAGCCCCAGCTGCGGTCCGCGCGCCCCTGCGCGTGGTTGGGACCAGGGCGCCCGCGCGGCCCGGAGCCGTCCGCCAGCTCCCTGCACCCTCCGCTGGGCTCCCGCCTCCCTGGCTGCACTTCGAGCAGCCCGGGCAAAGGCGGCGGGAGACAGACAGACAGAGCGACCTCCCCCTTCTCCCTCCGCCCCAACTCCGCTCGCGAGCACACAAAGGAAGGAGAGGAGACGCGGGAGCTGCGGGGCTGGTTCAGCTGCCGCTGGCTTGACAGCTCCCTGCCACCCCGACTGGAGAGGGAGGCTTCGGACTGCAGGGCGGGGGGACACTAGACCCGGGAGCAGGACCTCGAGGTGCCGGGGAGGCCGCCGGGGGGCGCGGAGTGAGCGCTGCTGCCGTGCGCGGCACTGCTCCAAGGGTTTGAAGGCAACTGTGGGTGGAGGGGGGGGGGCAGGTAGTGGAGCTGGCTGCGCTCCACCAAGCTACCAACCCGCCAAACAACCCGGATGGGGGATCCAGAGGGCAAAGTGGGGTCACTCAGGACACAGTGTTAAGCTGAAGCTGCCTTGGGATGCCAGGGGAGTCCGTGGAGTGCTCTTTCTGTACCCCCTCCAAATTGTCCTTTGTTGCTCCGGAGCTGATGGTCCCTGCCCTGCAAGAAGGTGCGTTTCCTAAAACACCCTCAAAGCTAGCCACCTAGCCAAATCCAGCTGCATTTAAGTACCCCAGTCAGGGACCGTACCCCCGCGGATCCATTTGCCTTCTAAGAAATAGAGACGTTCCAAATATGTCATCGGGCCCACACAAAAGCCGAGTGTCAAAGAGAAAGAGGTTCTCTGACTGTGCCTTGCAAAGAATCCTCACAAAAGACTTAAGACTTGGCAGCAAGTCCGACTGCGCCCTTTCAGAGTAAGGAACTATTCAGGTGTGAGAGAGGAAGAGACTGCAGCAAAAGGTGTGCGCCTTCTCTCTATTTAAATCTAAATTAATTTCACTGGGAGGAAATATCATGCAGATTTTTTTTTAAGTCTATTTCACACTCCCAGTAGGGTAATCGGTTCTTTCAATCCTGAAGCAACAGAAATTGAAATTTGAACAGAAATTGTTAGATCAAAGGGGAAAAGCAAACATTAAAGGAATGAAAGTACTCTCATTATGTAGCAAAGTGGAAGGTGCTCACATTGGGGTAGTTCAATTTTTTAAAACATGGTTAAAAGGACATAGTCAATTTAGAAATTATCAGGAGTGACACAGGAACAGCTGCCAGTCCTAAGGGGTCCACATCAACCTAGCACCTAACACACAGTGAATAATAAATGTCGAATCACAATATGCACCCATGTCACATTATCTAGTTTATTTAAACTATTTTTTAATCTTTCCTTTAGGATACCATCCCAGTGTGTTTCCCCAATAAGGCTGGCTGGCTGGCTTTCTTTCTTTCTTTCTTTCTTTCTTTCTTTCTTTCTTTCTTTCTTTCTTTCTTTCTTTCTTTCTTTCTTTCTTTCTTTCTTTCTTTCTTTCTTTCTTTCTCTCTCTCTCTCTCTCTCTCTCTCTCTCTCTCTCTCTCTCTCTTTCTTTCTTTCTCAGCTATTGAAGAGTTGAACCTTCTTCAGTCACACTGCACTATGTCTTCCTGACCTCATCTACATGGAACTTGAAACATCCCAGTCTGGTACAAACACCTCCACACTCCCCATTTTTCCTCATTCTGTGCAATGCATCCTTGAGGAAGCTTAATGTGGAAAACTCTGAGGACATATGTTCCATCATCACAACCTTGATACCTCTATCAAAATGGAAATTCCTGTTTTCTCAGAGTTTGCTGATTTAAGTCAATATGTACTTGTTTGACTAGTAATCTATATATGCCTCCATCTTTAGATGGTGGACCACCTGCCTTGGCTGTTTCATTGAGTGGAGTGACTACGATTTGGACTTTGAAGAAAACAACACCATGGTCCAAACTCTGGTTCTGCAACTTATTAGCTATGTATAAATTACTTACACACTGAGCCTCAGTTTCTCCACTTTCTCTATGATAACTCAGAGTTGTGAAGTTTAAATGAGATGATGTTCTAAAGCCAGAGTGTACCAGATATATAGTTCATGTCCTGTAAGTGATTGTAAATTGTCTACTGGAAGATTGAATCTATGATTTAAAAAACATTCACTTTTTCCATTGCATCTTGTAGCTAACTAATCAGCAGTGACTTGTTTTACCAGGGGAATGTCTAATCGTTGACCCAAGGTTTATGTCTTTCTTGTCCCAAATTAAGCAGTATGCAACAGGTTTCATTATTTACCCCTGAAGTCTCATAACAAGATGTCAACTTCCATTTCTTCATTTTGGATGATAACATTTACCTTTATAGGCTGTATAGTCATTAGTGAGAGAAAATAAAGCATGGTCCTGCAAAGTAGATTACTTTTTTTTTTTAAAGATTTATTTATTTATGCATACAAGACCTGAAGTGTAGGAAAGAGGTGTTAGGGGTGAGAGGATTCACCAGAGACAGTGGGGAGCAGAACAGGCAGATCTACTCAAATACACTGTTGAGGGGAGCAGTAGGCAAGAAATCTGCTTTCCTATGTCCTCTCAGGCATCTTTCACGTTATGAAGGCTCAAGTTGAACACACCTTCTTGGCAAACTTCCCTAGCCCCCAAATCAGAAGCCAGCTCTCCTATTGAATTCTCCTAGTGCTTGCTCTGTATCTCTCAATTGACCATCACTCTGTCTTGTTTTAATGGTAATTTGGCAACATTTCATCTCCCTAATCTGTTAAAAGATTCCTGGGGGCAATTTCCTGGCCTAGTCAACCTTTGTATTCCCTATCATTCTTTGCACATAATAGTTGCTCAATAGATATTTATTGAATAAATGAGTAAACTAAGGAACAAATGGATCCATAAATGGTTCTCATGTAAGCCAATTACTTTTCGCATTAGTAGCTCTGACCACCAAGCAACAAGACAATGAGTCACCTATCTGGAGCACAAAAAGAAGTTGATGGCAGCAAGGCTATTATGCTGTGAAAAGAAAAACTGAAATGGTGAAAATATAAGAATAAAATGTTGATGGAGTGAATGTTTGCAATCCCCACTCCCCCCCCCCCATCACTGGCTGTTTATAACCAGTATAATTTATTGTTTACAGAGTAGCTCTTACGTTGTTACTGTAATTTGTTTATTTTTGCTGTACTGTTCCTTTGAAGTTTGAAAGCAGACATGAAAACACCACAGGGTGACTGTGGCTGTTGCTCAGTGGGAACTGAGCTCCCACTTTTCAGGCACTCTGGGGTGTTTCTTTGTGAAGGTCATTCCTTTTCCCTGCTAAGCACAGAATGAAATATACCTTACTTTCAAGATTAATCCAGTAGCCGGCATTCACTGGAGAACAGTGGGGCTATTTGTCAACTAGCTTTAAATATTTTATGACACATACTCCACTGTACCCTGAAAATTGTTCCTTTTGCCATCAATTTCTCAACATGGATATACTCTTAGTTGTGGTGAGAAATAACACCCTGCATAGTTTAAGCCATGTTTCTAGTACAGAGATGTCTAGTGTTGTTAAAGAGAGCATTGACTCTTTGGGGTGATATCAGGCAGAACTAAAAGAAGCAGCTAAGGAATGATCCATTTCCTCAGCAGAGGTGTACAGGCAGCTGCGGTGGGCTTACCAAGGTGACAGCTCAGACGCAGGAGGTAGCAGCCTTCCCTCTGAACAAAAGGAATATACACCTGGGGTGCAGACAAAGGGAGGCTGCCTCAGCTACCCAATTCCCAGTTCACTTCGCCTGCTGCTGGGGACCCCTAGTGGCGACACGTGTAGCAGCACAGGTGCTCCTGAAAGGCCTGGCTGAGCTGCTGAGACCTTTAGGCCACTGAGCTTCCAACGGTAAGTCACATATAGGCATACACTTAGGTCCCTCCATCAGCTACACCCCTTTGACTTGAAAGACAGAAAGGAGAGAAATGAGAGTTTTTCCTTCTTTCTGAAGAAAAAACAGTCCGTGTTCAGAAACTCAGTGACAGAATTCAAAAACTCCTTGAATATGTTTCCTTCTGCATGTTGCATCTTCGGCTTTGTGCCATGACATTTGAGATGATAAAAATCTTTTGTGCCTGCCATGTCCTGCGAGAAATTCAGGATGAACTAAAATGAAGAGAGCTCAAAGCCTGCTCTGAGCAAAAGTGTGATATGAGTTTTTTATGCCTTCTGGAGTACCTGTGACTATGCTTTTTTAATATCCAAATTTGCTTGCACAAGTTTCCAATAGATTTATTCTCTGCTGTTTGTTCATTTATGTAGGCATTAATTAATCCAGTCATATTGAATTAATTCATCCATTCATTTCATATGGGCAGAAACAAATGAAAGTACATCCTGCCCCAGGGTCCCCTGCAACCTGATGTCCTCCATGGACATGGACATGTCAGCTGGGACAAGGTTTTAAGCTACACAGATGATCCCTAGTTGGGGATTATTGGGAATTATAGGTACTACCTATGTTGGTCAAGACATCCTGTTTGGCAGATTTTTTTTTTTTAAAGATTTATTTATTTATTTTACACAAGAACCGGGGTACAGGCCAGATGTGCAGGAAGGTGAGAGGATTCCAGAGACAGAGCAGGGAACAGAACAGGCACACCGATGAAATACCCTGCTGAGGAGAGCAGCGGACAAGGCAGGAGAGGTCTGCCGTGCCATGTGGGACTCTCGCCCGCCGGCCAGGATTGAACCGGTGCTGCAGAGGCTGCAGACAGCCTCACAGCGCGGCTCTCAACTGCCTGCTCCACCAGGGGAGGCCCTGGCATATTTATTTAAATAAAACCTCCAAAATCAAATCAAGCCTCAGTGTCTT